TGTCCCCCCCCCCCCCCCCCCCCCCCAAAAGGCCAAAAAATCTTTCTTAAGGTATTCTTTTTTTTGTTGTTTGTTTGTGAAAACAAATTTTTTACTGGTATTTTTTTTTTCGCGTTGTAGTTCGTTCTGAAATTTTGTAGTCTGGTATTGAATCCAATCCTGAATGAATCCCTGCCCACAAAGGATAGCACTTGTGCTCCTATAAAGGAAGGGCATAATAGAAGAAGCTATGATTGAACTTACATATCATACAAGTCGGCTGCCTCAAATTTTCTCTTTACAATGCCATATTAAACACACGGCTGCCAAATGAAGAAGGAAATGGATATATAGCCAAGCTAATTAGGTCACCGTGGAAATTTCACCACATACATTAAAACTAGAAAAAAAATTCAATTTTTACATTGCAAAGTTTTTTATTCCAAAAATACTTGAATATATGAAGTATAAATGATAAATACAAAATATCCTCACTCCTATAATTAATACAGCTTAAAGCTAAAATCATTGCTGCAGTCAAACCTCATTACCATCCACAATTGTTGCCCAATAATCCCCAAACTCACGTTTCTTCATTATAACATTAAATAAAAAAATTTCAGGCTTAAAATCAAAGACTTCAATCCATTTCAAAGATCACTATAATTCATATCTCAGTTTGCATTTCGTCCATATTTTCTGCCCAAAAATCCTCTCTACAAGCTCCAATTTCGGAATTTGGGGGTTTTTTCTTCTCTATATAAACCCTAATAAAGAATGAGACAAACTCTATTCCATCCTCAAAATCAAAAAAATCAGCCATATTACATGCTTCACTTGATTATAGAAATCGAAAATGACATCACAAGTATTTGTTCACCTCTGTGTTCCAACAAGAAGAAAAATTATTGAAGAAACACAAAAGATAGAGCTTTCAAGGCGTGTGGCCCACACGCCTCTACAGTTGAAGTTAAGAAGTCCCACACGAAGAAAATTTCTAAGAGGCAAATAGAGACTACAGAGCTTGATTTAAGCACTTGTAAAATAACACATACTGCTTAGGAATGTCAGCTTAAAAATCCAAATTTAACTGACTTAAGAGGTGCTTTTAGATGAAAATAATAGTTTTTCACCGTTCAAGTGACCCTACTGAGCTTTTCATTGATGAAATGGCCTGGACAAAAAGTACATATTGTTTTTAGCATTTGTATCAGTAGATGAAGCCTCAATATTGATCTGGTGTGAATAACAGTTATTTATTCAACACCACTTATGCAACCCATATAAACATCTGCAAAATAGAATGGAATCTATGGTAGACCAAGGACAAATTTTTGGATATCATGAAAATAAATGCAAAAACCACCAGTAAGTTTATATAACTAAAAATAGCTGCTACAAAAGATGGAATCTACGGTAAAACAACTATATAAATTTCTAGTTAGAATGGGGATTTCATCACATCATGATCATGTGAAGTATGTAGTCTCACACAATCTGAAATTAGGAACGATTACATGAAACAATTCTAATACATTATAACATCTAGATCAAATTACAACACTTCATCCATCAATTTTATTATTTTCTTGAATATACTTATTCACCTACATCAATCGCCAAGTATGTAAAGGAATAAATAAATCTAACATCATACGATTAACACATTGTGTACCTATTCGTTATTTCTGTTGACGCTTGAATCAAAATTACATTTTTGCACATGACTTAGTGGTCGAGCCTGCTTACGTGTTCTTCTGTTGTGCCCCTTTCTACCATATCGTCCACATCTTGTTGGTTGTATGCGCTCTCCCTTGTTTGTCTCCTTGTATTCTTAGGCCTCAATGAGTGGAACAATGCTACCGGTGTACATGTCAACATAAGATTCCTTTGAATGGTAATGAGAACAATATTTGTAGGGTTATTCTCCATTCGCCCTAATAACAACTAGTGAATGTGGACACGGAACCCCATCAATCTCGAACTACTTGCAAGTGCAAGTCAACTCTCTCTAATCTACTAAGTGCGTTGTATTAGTGTCAAAGACTTGATACAGTTAATTTGTTGAGGGAGATACATGTGTTCAATGTAATGGAGAAAGTTAACATTTACATGAAATCATAGTGCAATACATGTATTTTAGAAATTCTAACGACAATATATCCATATCTAAGAAAGCTTGTAATAAAATGTTACATATAAACTACATAGTAGATATCATATATGTTATCATGTTTCTTCGTTGAATCAGATAATTTTTAATAAACTCACGGGTCATAAAAATATAAAGACATTACCTTCATCTTT